GCTGTTTGCTGGTATCACTTATATGGAGTCTGCTAATTTCTAATGAATTGAAAGTTACACTCAGTCAGTGGGAGTCAAGTTTACTGAGATGGGTGAGTGTGGAGACAGCCCTTCCTGCCCTGGTAACGGAAGATCTCTGCTTAGGGTGACCGTATGTCCCGTTTTGGCCGGGACAGTCCCTTTTTTAAGCCCTGTCCCGGCCGTCCGACTTTCTTTTCAAAAGGAGGTATTTGTCCCTTGCTGAGGCATTGCTCTTGCTGACTTGATCAGTTGGCAAGAGCAAATGGGACAAATTCCCTCTTTAGTAAAAAAAAAAAAAGTGTGGCGTGGTGTGGAGGAACATGGGTGTGTGTGTGTGTGGAGATGCCAGTCCCTTGCGGGGGGTGGGCAGAGCTGCTGGGGGTGGGCAGAGCTGCGGGGGGTGGGCAGCGTTCTAGTATGGGGGGGGCAGCAGGGTTCCAGGGACAGGCAACAACCTCTTGAGGGGGCCCCCCCACAGGGTTCCAGTGACCGGCAACAGCCTCACAGGGCGGGGCTGGGGCACAGCTCCTTAAGCAAGTGGCTGGCGGTGTCCAGTTTTTTCTTAGGGAAATATGGTCAACCTCTCTCTGCTGTTGTACATTTGCACTCCTTGCCCTGTTGACAGGAGCCTTGCTCAGCTTTAGACAGAGAGAAGTAGACACAGGCTGCAGGGGGTGGGGGGTCCTTATTCTGCCCAGGTGGGAAGCAGGTGAACTGGGCGGGAGGCCGGGCAGGGGACGCCAGGTTTCGAGAGAGGCAAAGGGAGTGGTAAGCACACACAGCAGGGGAGGGTAAGGGGAAGTGCAGAGGTGAAATGCAGAGTTGCCTGCCTCTCTTGGCAGCCATGGGAAGAGGGAGGTCCCTCAGTTTCGTAGATGTAGGGGAATAACGGTCAAAGAGAAAGCAGCCCCTGCTACAAACTCATCTTTGTCATCAGCCTTGGCTGGTGGGCATCTGCTAGACCTTCTGATTGCTATATGAAGCTCTCTGGGTTCTCCCCGCGCTCCTTGGACTACCTTTGAACTGCACTGTCACAGTTCAGTGGCCACCCTCTAATAATGCATTACCGCTTCAAAGCACTGTACAAACCTTAACCAATAAAGGCGAGCTCTCTTCCCCATGTGCCGTCCTTACCACAGTGACCACTGAGGCAAAGCAGATATTGTGCTTTTGTGACCATGCTCTATTTCTTTGACTTTATGTCTACTAAGGCCTGCTCGACACACAGTTTTTGCACGGGTATATTTTGGTGAGGGTGTGATTTCTACCAAGATAGTTATACTGGCACAACCACTAGCGGGGATGCAGTGATATTGGTATAAAGGTGCCTTATATACTGGTATAGCTCAATCGATTTCCCTTCTGGGACTAAGCTAGACTGCTATAAGCACGTTTAAGCCGGTATAACTGTGTCTGTGCTAGGCGGGGATGTACCATGTAAGTACAGTGGTATAATTAAAGCAGTGCAACTTTTGTCACAGCCAAGCCCTCGGTCACCACATGTGCCAGTTGACCAGGCCTGTGGTGGCTTTTTTCAGTCAGAGCCAATCGTGCTGCAGTCAGAGTTTGTTCTGTTTTCAGTGGATTGTGGGAAGTTCTCTGCAAGCCTGTCTGCCCTGCTGTGGACGTGCTTCTGCATGTAGCAGCTCTCCCCCAGGATGTCTAGATGGCTGGTCTCTATTGTCTGTTAGCCCTGAGCAGAAGGGACACCTACTCCTGGAGGGAACAGCTGGAACGGGAGCCATTTAGAAAGAAGGAAGGAACAGCAAGTCTTGCCTATACAGGCAGAGAGGGTCCTTGGACACAACCCACGCCTGTTGCAGGAAGTGGAGGAGAAAGCTTAGAGTCAGAGCAGCTTTTACTGACGGTCCAATATACAAATCCCTGCACTCTGATGTAATGCTGCCCTACGGTCCCTGTTCCAAATTGTGTTAGGTTTCCTTACAATTGTAAAAAAGAACCCCAAAAGCAACGAGCTTTTTGGATCACTCCCTTCTGCCCGCCTAAATTCCCCCTGCAGTTTCAATACTCTTCTTGGCATCCTTTCCTAAACAGTTGCAGGGCGCTGTTGTGTTACATGGCACGTTTCACCCCAGAGGTGGTTGCACCTGCCTGCGGCTGGAGTGATTCCTCTTACGGCTTTATATCCTTAGGCCCTAGTCTGGCATTGAGCTCTGGGTGGGGACGGGGATGTGCCACACAGAGCAGTCGGAGTGGGGCGGTGGTTTGGGATCCTTTGGAGCTTCCAGAGGACTGTGGCTATGTAAATATAAGATGGTACAAATCTTTAACTATAAAAGGGGGCAAACAAAAAGCTCAACCCCTCCCCCCCAGGAAAAATTTGTATAGTATAAAATAAAACTAGGAGAGTCACGCAGCTTGTACAGGCTCAGCTCATGGCACACCCCAGGGGCTCCTTGAATCCCATCGTTCCCCCCAGAAGCTCTCCGGGCACCCCCCCCTCTATCTCAGGGACTCCCTGAAACTCGTCCCATCTCCATCTGGCAGGGGTTCTGGCGGCCCCCATTCCTCCCATCCCCCATGATAGGATCCCCCAATATCCCCCCACCAGAGGGTTCTGCAGCCTCCCCCAATTTCAGGGTCCCCCCCATTTCACCCGATAGCAGGGGTTGTGTGCCCCAATTCTCCCATCCCCCATAGCAAGATCCCCCAATATATCTCCAGCAGGGGCTCTGAACCCTCATTACCCTCTTCCTCCCATTTTCCTCCTTTCTTCTATGCCAGCTGGTCTGCCTGCCCCCTATTTCCACCTACCAAGCATGCTAGGAACTCTGTGTGCGCCCTTTCCCCCTAATAGGGCCCCCAACTCCGCCCCCCACTGCCAGGACTGTGTTTGCTCCCTTCCCTCCTCCATGCCCCATTCCCTGCATTCTGACCCCCTGTCCTCCACTCCCCCTCATTACTCCTCTTTCGGTCTGGGAGAGAAGTCATTCAGGCTGTCAACGTGTTAATTCAACTCTATTGGGAGGATGGACAGAGGTGGGATAGAAGCATTGCTATGCCAGAAGGCATTAACGGGTGCCATTGACCAACTGTGGTTGTGCTAAAGAACGGGCAGAGGCATCAGATGTCTCCCACGTTCTGCCTTTTGGTTTGATTTTCCTCCCAAATCAGCAGGGCGCTGGCCACTGATGCCTTGAACGTTCCCGGAAATGTTGGAATTGAACGGACGTGGTGTTCAAAAGTTATCACGCTACAGGAAGAGAAATGCCATCAAGGTGAGTGTAAGGTCCTCACAAGCTTGGCCAACACCGAAAACCCACGCTGTAATTCACACTCACACACACACACACACACACACACACCACAATTTATAACCCCGTCAAGATACATGCATTACTCTATAGGGGCCCACAATGTCTGGTCTTTCCATGGGCGTACAGGACCCTTCCCCCTCCTGGGTTAGCCCATGTAACGACCAGACAGAGTTACCATCCCTGCACTCAAGGGAACATAGAGGCAGCGCTGCCCATACTCTCCCAAGGGTGCACTGCTCAGTATGGACCAGAAGGAGGTGGGGTGGAACATGTGCAGCAGGCAATCTAAATCTAAAAAAGCTCCGCTCCGATTTAGACACTACATTTTAATGGCTAAGAAGGAGTCAACCTCTTTGGAAACGTTGGACTTAAATATCAGAGGGGTAGCCGTGTTAGTCTGAATCTGTAAAAAGCAACAGAGGGTCCTG